CTCGCAAAGGAGTGTTATCTTACTAAAACTTTTATAGGTGAGCATGCTGTATATTTTGAGATTTTGCTCACTATGCCTCTAAGGTTTACTGTGCCTTCTATTCTGTTGTCACTAAGGATCACTAGCTTTGATTACTGTACAATATTCTTCTGTGAGATTATATATTTTATTCACGCATTCTTTAATGGGACTTAGGTTGTTTCTAGGTTTTTGCTTTCTGTAAACGGTGCTACGAAAATTCTTGTTCATGTCTCCTGTTATCTATGTGCAAGTTTTTCTTGGGTATATACTTAGGACTGAAATTTCTGCATGTCAGGATGTGTGAAAGTACAACTTTAAAAGGTAACACCAGGGGCACCTAGCTGGTTCAGTCAGAAGAGCAAGTGACTCGATCTCGGAGTTGTGAGTTTGAGCCCCATGTTGGGCACAGAGATTACTTAAATAAATAAAAACTTCAATAAAAAGGTTAAAAAAAATAAAAATAAAAAGGTTAAAAAATAAAAGGCAACTCTCAAAACTTCTAAAGGACTGAACCACTCTTGGCTAATACCAGCAGCATAGGGCATAGGGCAGAGGACAGATGGAATGACCTCCATGGAAATATTGTGAGGGCTTCAGGGGAGAGAGATGAGAAAAGTATCTGGGGACAATCCTCCAACTTTTGGGGCACTGTAAAAATACCAAACTCCACCCAGGAGCTAAAGATTTAATCAAATCTGTTATTGGGGACAATGATGACCAAAGAACTTGTTTGTCTTAGTAACTTCAGTGCTCTGAGTGCCATGCCCTCCCCTAATCCTTTTGTCCCCCCAGAAGAACAGGATAGGAGGACTCGGTCTTAGGAGAGGCTGAGGGACAGTCCCAAGAAAGGATATGTAAAAAAAAAAAAATGTGGGATCCCTCCAACACTACATGTTGCCAGACTTTTAAATTTTTGCCAATTGAATGGATATAAAATGGGTATCTCATTTTGGTATTGATTTGCATTGTAACTTCTCCCAATCTGTAACTCATCTTTTCTTTTTTTTGAAGATATCTTAAATTACGTATTAGTGCATAAAACATCTCATTTTCCTTTTAAAGCTGAAATATAGTTGACACACACAACGTTGTATTAGTTTCAGATGTACAAGGCAGTGATTTGGTATTTATATACATTCAGAATGCTCACCACAGTTAGGTGGAATCACCATCTGTCATCAGTTCTCATGGTATTATTGACTATATTCCCTGTGCTGTACTTTTCATCCCCGTGACTTATTTGCTAAATATGAGTTTGTACTTCTTTATCCCCATCACCTACTGGACCCACCTCCTCTCTGGCAGCCACCAGCTTGTTCTCTGCAGTTAATGTCTGTTTTTGTTGTTTGTTTTTTTTATTATTCCACAGGAGTGAAACCATACAATATGTGTCTCTTATTTCACTGAAGAAAATAACCTCTAGGTCCATCTGTGTTGTTGCAAATGGCAAGATTTCATTTTTTTTATGACTAATACTACATTGTGCCTATATATACAAATCTTCTTTATCCACTCACCCACTGGAGACATAGGTTGCTTCCATACCTTGGCTACTGTAGACAATGCTGCAATAAAAATGATGCTGCTTTTATCTTTCTGAATTAGCTTTTGGTTTCCCTAACAGTCCAAAGTGTAACTATTGAAATGTATGGTATTTTTAATTGAGGTACTCCACTGTTTTCCACAGTGGTTGGACCAGTTTACATTCCTACTAACAGTGTACGAGGGGAACAGTATTCCCCTTTCTCCACATCCTTGCCAATACCTGTTGTTTCTTGGGTTAATTTTAGCCATTCTTACAGGCATGAGGTGGGATCTCCTTGTGGTTTTGATTTGCCTTTCCCTGATGAGTGATGTGGAACATCTTTTTCATGTGCCTGTTGGGCATCTGTAAGGTCTTCTTTAGAAAAGTGCCTACTCAGGTCTTCTGCCCATTTTTAAAATTCTTGCTGTTGAATTGTAGGAATTCTTTATATATATATATATATATATATATATATATATATATATATATGATATTAACTCCTTATTGGATAAATCATTTTCTCCCCTTGGGAGGTTGCCTTTTCATCTTGTTGATGGTTTCCTTCACTATGTGAAAGCTTTTTAGTTTGAGGTAGTTCCATGAAAGCATGGGACTAAAATCCTTTTGGGCTCTTTTGTGGTTCCAGATTTTAGTATCATTTATTCCGATTCTGTGAAAAAATGCTATTAGTATACTGATAGGTATTGCACTGAATCTGTAGATTACTTTGGGTAGTATGGACATTTTAACAATATTAATTCTTCAAATCCATGAGCATGGAATATCTTTTCATTCATTTGTATCACCTTCAATTTCTTCCACCAGGTCTTTTACCATGTTGGTTAAATTTATTCCTAGGTATAAAATACCTCATTTTAATATCAAATTTATCAGTTAATGCTTTGTGTCTTAAGTAGTACTCTATCTCAAGGTCAAAGAAGTAGTTATCATTTTTCCCAAGTTTGAAAATTTTGTGTTATATTTAAGACAATAACTTCCTAGGGCAGGAGGTAGGAGTCAATTTTCACTCTTTCCCACACAGATAACCAACTGTTCTAGCTCAAATTATCAAATTAACTTTCCCCAACGTGACATGCCACCTCTTACACCAAAGTTCAGTACATACGTGCCTTTTTCTGGGCAATCAAGTCTATCCCACTGGGAAGTGCGTACATCCTTTAGCTAATACCAAGCTCTTTAATGTGGCTTCATGTGAATGTGCACTAGCATCTGTCAGGCCAAGTGCCCACCTCCCTGACCTTTCTTTTCAAAAACGCCCTAGCCCTTTATCTTTTTAACCTTTTACTTTATAATTGCTTTGACAAGTTCCAGGAGAAAACTTGGTGGGATTTTGATTGGAATTGCGTTGCATCTATAGGTTTCTCTGGGGACACATGGCATCTTTATTTATTATTTTTAAAGATTTTATTTATTCATGAGAGAGAGAAGCAGAGACACAGGCAGAGGGAGAAGCAGGCTCCCTGCAGGAAGCCCGACATAGGACTCGGATCCTGGGTCTCTAGGATCACAACCCGGGCTGCAGGCGGCGCTAAACCACTGCGCCACTGAGGCTGCCTACACAGCATCTTTATATGGTCTTCCTAGCCGTTAACATGTGTCCCTCCTGTTTACTGAAATCTCAGTTATTGTCTCTTAATAATACTTTAGAATTTTTTCTTGAAGAGGCCTTCAATATGTATGGTTAATCTCCTAGGTATGTGGGGTTGATACTACCATAAAAGCTGTCTTCTGGTTTTCTAGTTATTACCACTATCAGGAATGCACCCAGCCTCCGAAAGTTAATGTCATACTCGCTGCTTAACCACATTCTTTATGTCTAGTACTTTCTCTAGATTCATTTGAATTTTCTCTAACAAACACCTAACATGTAAATATCCAGTGCTTTTTCCTTTCTCCTTTTTAGGACTGTTTTGACTATTCTATTGAATACAGGATCTCCAACTCAATTTTGAACAAGCACAGGACAGCCAGCAGCCCCCCCCCCTTTTTTTTTAAGATTTATTTATTTATGATAGACATAGAGAGAGAGGGGCAGAGACACAGGAGGAGGGAGAAGCAGGCTCCATGTCGGGAGCCCGACGTGAGACTCGATCCCGGGACTCCAGGATTCTGCCAAAGGCAGGCGCTAAGCCGCTGAGCCACCCCAGGGATCCCGTTTCTGACTTTTTAAAAAAGGGAGTGAGTTTCCTCTTTTTGAAAGATGCCTGCTTTTCGTTTGTCTGGGTTTACATAGAAACTATCAGCTTAAAGAAATTCCTCTCTCGTTCTAATTTATCAGGAGTTCTCATCATGAACGGGTGTTAAATTCTATTAAATACTTATAGCCTGAATCTGTTGGGCTACTGAGAACAGTTTTCTCTTTTTAATCTGTTTGTGTAATAAATTAACAGATTACATTTAAATAAATTACATTTATATATTTTCATGCTAAGCCATTCTTACATACTAAGATAGAACTTACAAATAAAGTAGTGGTAAACAAAACTGTGGAAGGAGCCTCGGTGTCCATCGAAAGATGAATGGATAAAGAGGATGTGGTTTATGTATACAATGGAATATTCCTCAGCCATTAGAAACGACAAATACCCACCATTTGCTTCAACGTGGATGGAACTGGAGGGTATTATGCTGAGTGAAGTAAGTCAATCGGAGAAAGACAAACAGTGTATGTTCTCATTCATTTGGGGAATATGAATAATAGTGAAAGGGAATATAAGGGAAGGGAGAAGAAATGTGTGGGAAATATCAGAAAGGGAGACAGAACATAAAGACTCCTAACTCTGGGAAACGAACTAGGGGTGGTGGAGGGGGAGGAGGGCGGGGGGTGGGGGTGAATGGGTGACGGGCACTGAGGGGGACACTTGACGGGATGAGCACTGGGTGTTATTCTGTATGTTGGTAAATTGAACACCAATAAAAATTAATTTATTAAAAAAATGAATCTCAAAGCTTAAAAAAAAAAGTAGTGGTAAACAAATTTAAGCCTAGGAATTTGTATTTTAAGATACTGCTTTTCACCCGTTTTATGTTTCATGTTTAAAAAAAAAAAAAGATTGGCTGCCAGATAAGTTTGAAAACCACAGGACAAATGGTCTTTCTCATCTACAATCCTCCAGCTGCCATGTCTGAATTATGCCCTTTCGGTTTTCTCGAATTCTACCAGAAAAAGGAGCTCCTAACCAGATGCTAACTCAGCACAACGGGATGTAGAAAAGAGCTAGAAAAGTCGAAATCTACGTGACAGAAAGTAGTTCGTGGTGTTAAAGAAATGCTGACACCTCCAACTCAAAGGAATCTAAGATTAAAATTTATCCTAAGATTGGTCACAAAGAGATGTTCATGGAACAGCAGCAGGACTTGAACAAAACTAATATAGTAGAAAACTAAAGGACCAAAAGTCAAAATGAACTACCAGAAAGAATAACAGAAAAAGTAATAGAAGGGAACAATTATGGTTTTCCTTTTTATTTAATCAAAGACTGGTGGATAAACATAAATACAGCACAATTACTTCAGATCATTCTTCATATTGTATACACACAGACCGATGAACGTAATCTGAAAGAAACCTGCAGTCGGCAATGAAATGCATACAGCTTTTCCTTCCCTCGCTCAAAAAAATTTAAAAACACACAAACTTAGAATCTCATCAGCACACACTCTCCTGTGACAAATGATTCAGACATAAATAGTGGGTGCAAAGAAACTATATGCTAACATATGTAGAACCTTTGTTAATGAAAACCCCAAAGCAGCCGTAAGGATGAAGGTACATTCAGTGACTGGTAAGTAGCTGTGCCCCAAGGGGCGCCATCGACAGAGGTCGTGCTGCAGAGAAAAGCTATGTACACACACAATGAGAAAATAAACTGCAAGATCAACGCATGCATGTTTAATACTGGAAAAATCACGGCCCTCCAAAATTTCTTCACGTTTGTTATAAAAGCCCTCTGCACTCAACTAAAATTAAAATGATCTTAAAACGATAATACTTGTAAAGTTTACTTAAGTCTTTTCAGCCACAGAAACTGCAATGGAAATAAATGTTCAGAGTCATTTTCAAAACAAAAACAAAAATCTATTCTTCTGATGACATGCATGATTAAAAGGTCTATGCAAGATACAGTGCTCTACATTCCCAATGACTAGGAAAAAAAACCTCAAGTCAATTTTTAGTTTGCAGATGGTCAAAGGATTTTGTATTCCAGCAGGAGTTCAAATCTTCTGGATCTTTTCACCAACAACTACTGGATTTTCTTTTCTGATTTTCTCAGCAGCATCAGCTTTGTAATTGTAAGAGCAATTGTGTACATCGGAGTAACGGTGTACACCACAGTAAACATTTCCACACCGGCATTCAAACCCTGCAAATGGATCAGTACACACACGTGAGTCAGACTGAAGGTCGAACTATTAAGTTCCTTAGTATCATTAATGTTAAAAATATCATGTATTTAGGACAGCCATCTAAAGAATCATTCCAGACAGTTACAGGACCTAATAACATTTTCAGAATTCACTAGCTGATAGCTTCATTTCATGTTCCTATCTTACAAATAGAGGTCTGTACCACAACAGATCCTAGCCACTTCCCTGAGCTCAGGTCTCTTCACCTGTGATGTGGCCAGGATCACTTCCTATCAAAATCAGGACTGCTACACTGGACGGAAGACATTCCTCATATGTGAAAATAAGCACACTGTCATAATAAGCAACCTTAAAATTTAAGAAAGGCATAACGAAACTTCTGGCAGAACTGTTAAGAAACTTCCTAGTCAAATTCATTTTTCTTTTTATATTCCATTTATTTCACTGGCCTCTAGTGAATGGAGAGGTCACCCCAATGTCTACTCTGCCCTGGACTGTCCCAGTTTTAGCACTAAAAGTGCCACTGCAGTATCCATGCTGGCTTCCCCTGGAAGACTGCCAGAGGTGACTGAGCTGCTCCTGCTGGTTGAGTAAAAGCAGGGGCTGGGGTCCGGCGCCTAAGCAGAAATCTACTTATACTAACGTAGGCAAATTACTTAGCTTCTCTGAGCCTCAGTTTCTGCATCTATAATTTTGGAATAATTATTTTAGGGATTAAGGGAATAATGTGTTAAGCGCTTAACATTTAGTAAACATGCAATAAATGATATTTATTTTAGGGAAATACCCAAGGAGTTGAAGCCAAAAGAGAGTGTGGATAGTCTATATAAAACAGGTCCTACTTCCTAAAATTAAGATTTTATGGTATGATGGAACCGTTGGAAATGGAGCATAGGAATCAATATTTCAAATACTGACATCTGATGTAAGCTTCCTTTACCACATTTTGTTTTAGCTTTAGAAACATTCCGTAGCTTCATGATAACAAATGGAAAATGAAGCAACAGCAACACCAGACAGGTTGGACAAGACAAAAGTTACTAAGTCTCAGCCTTCCCATCATGCAGTTTGAGAGTTTCTGAGATGTAAAAGACTACATTTGACACTAAATAAGTATATTTTAAAATATCTTATTGGCTCATTGCTCATGTATTCTTTAAACAAACACATTTGCCAAAGTATGAGCCAATCTTAAACATCTGAACTCCCCTCCCCTTTCCACCTTAGCTAAACCCTATTCCTTGGCCAGAGAAACCTTCCTAAGACATACCAAAAATCTTAATCTACTCTCTTCAGCTCCTCAAATTTTTATGTGGAGGATTCAGCACAACACCTGGCACACAATAAATAATAAATGACCATTCTTTCCAGCTGGGGCTGCTCTCACCGTTCAGCACAGCCCAAAGCAGCAGCCTCCACTAGGCGCCTGTCTGGCCACAGCAGTTGACACCCCCTCTTCACATGTTGCGTGCTGTCGCCAGCCAGCCTCTCCATCTGGGACCCTCAACAGGCCCTATTCTTTCTTTTCTCTGATCTTTTGTCCAAGCTATTCTTTCTGCGTGAAATGCTCCTATTCTCATCATTTCTAAGTCCTCCTCATCTTTCAAGATCCAGCTGAAACACACTGTCTCCATTATACTTTCCATGATGGGCCTCTATTCCCCTTTTGTATGAATTAATTAGGATACCTATCCCTGAACTCCCAAAGTAATCTATTGATGGCACTTCATCTATTTTGTTTGCTAAACACCCAAGAAATGTTTCAAATATTTTTCTCTTCCTCTCTTAGTAACAATGTTGTCAACACCTCCATTGCAGTCGTGTGGTGACCCTGGGCTAACACCTCACAAGTGCTAACTCACTGAGCCCTCACACCACCACCATTAGCCATTCTACACAGAGAAAGTACCTCTCAGGTATTTAAACACTCCCTCATCTGCAATTTCTGGCTATGCTAAGGCAGGAGCCACATCTTTCAAAGCAACTGCCACACTGACCCAACCTGGGGTTTAATGCTCTTAAACCCAGCTGGAATGAATTTTTAAAAGTAAATCTATTCATTTCACTTTCAGGTATATAATTAAAGCTACTTTAAGAAAATTCAGACGCTGAAGCATATCCAGTATTAACTCTCACAGTAACAAAAATGATCTCCATTGAAGCCAGAACAGTAAGCCATACATATTTTAATATATAATCTTAAGTTTAAACCATTAGATTTAGGTCCTTACCAGTAAGTCCCACTTTCTTCCTGCACATGAAACAGCGATTCTTTTTTTGTTTTGGTTTTTCAAGAGACTTGCTTTGCTCTTCAGATGGCTGCTGTGCCGTATCTGATACTGAAGCTGACAAAAACAGGAAGGTGGTAAAATTTAATTATTCAGTAAGATTTTAATGCTGGGTGGTGGTTGTCCCCCTACCCCAGCCTCACTGATCTGTTATTGTGAGGAGAGCTGAGGAATCTGTTAGCATGGAAAGAAACTTACATAAAGTTACAAAGTGGATTACATAATACACACCCTTTCATTATATGTATGTACATGTTACGTATCTGTGCATACACACACAGGAAATCTAGTATACTGACATGTTAAAGCAGTGACTTGATGTCTCACTCTGAATTCCCTTTTTCTAATAATTATGTATTTGATCAATAAAAGGTGTGTGTGTGCCTGCGCATGCACAAGCGCGCACACACACACAAATACTAGCTGGGTATTCTAAGGGAGTGCGTAAGTAAAATAGCCACGTGTCAACGTCGAAATATCATTGGGGTCAGAACTATGTATATATCTCAGAGAACAAGGACAAAAAAAGCTGAAACCAAGATTAGACGGAATGCCATGTTTCAAATTTCCAGAATGTTTCACATAAAACCTCTAAAATGTTAGAAGATAAATTTATCAGAACATTAAAATTAGGATAACAAATGGATGCACACAAGTAGCAAGGCCAAGGTTGGCTGCAGCAAGATTCAGTCAAATCACGGTATGTCAACCCTAACCAATGTGACCCCTCTGGCCCTCCTGCACACTGCCGCCAGAGTCTGCGCATAACCTAGCACACAGTACATCTTGCTCTCAAACAGTGACTTTCCACGGCCAAGTTCTCACCCTTCTAGTCTTTTTTTTTTTTTTAAAGAGTTTATTTTATTCATGAGAGACAGAGAGAGAGAGAGAGAGGCAGAGATACAGGCAGAGGGAGAAGCAGGCTCCCTGTGGGGAGCCCAAAGCAGGACTCCATCCCAGGACACTGGGATCACGCCCTGAGCCAAAGGTAGATACTCAACCGCTGAACTACCCAGGTGTCCCTCTCACCCTCTAGTCCGTCCTGAGCAGCCTGCTACTCAACAACTGTGAAGCCAGCCCTCTGCTCACACCATTTATAACCTATGCAAAGGGATGCCTTTCTCTTCCTCATCTACCCTGGGTCTACCTCTTCCGTTGTGCATGTGAAGCTCAAGCCCCCCTTGCTCTGGAGAAATGCAGGGTTCACAGATTAGCCTTGGCTCCCTTGCTAGGCTCTGTCAAGTCCTGGGCACAGCTCGTGTTGTGGGCACAGCTGCTTCTGCAGTCTACACACGCTACTTCCAGCCACCTGCTCTGAGTGCAAGTCTGACGGTGTGACTCACCTCCAGGAGAAAGCCCAGAGGCCTGTCAAACTCATTTACACAATAAAATCACCTGGAAAAAATATATATATTAAAAAAAACAAAACTCTTCTCCCGTGCCTAGCCACACTCCCTGCTCCAGCCTTAGGAAATGCCAGTTTCTCCAAACATACAAAGGCTTCTGTCAATAACCTTTCTGTGTGGAATGCTTTCCCATGCCCCTCTTGTCTCACTCTTTACCTGGCTTAATTGAACTGTCTCTCTTGTCTTGTTTAAGCTTATACCATCAACTTTCACTCTATCCCCTATGCAACAGCTTAGAATAGGAAGCTCTTCCTATGTACCCCAATAGTATAGCCCATGCTATTATAATGGCCTCTTTGTCTTAACCTGGCTTAGCAGTGAGCTTCTCCAGGGCAGGAGCTTGTCCATTCCACTCCTGCCACCAGTGCCTGTCCTCACATCCCAGACCACTTTGGCAGGCATGCCACAAAAACCTGTTCAACTGCATTCCTCAATTATTCACTTACTGGAGTCACGTGCCCCAGTTTCCCCAATTACACTGTAAGCCCACCAAGGACAGATGATATCTTATTTCCTATCTGAATCTCTAGCACAGTGAATTCTACAGAGTAGATGCTCAAGCATCTGATGTAATGGATTATAGACTGCTATGTTAACTACATTACCTCCCGTTTTAACAAAATATGACAAAGACAAAACACTACCAACTAACAAGTAAATATGCACGAATGAACAATTCTATAACTGATTATTCCACCTAGACATTCTGAAACCAGATGGGAGACAGTTGTAAATATAAACATTTTATGAATGTTTTAAAACAGGCTATGGAACACATAAAGCCTTTCAGTATTAATAAATAAGTATCCTCAGAATGTGAACTCATGAGGATAGGGTCTGAATGTCTTGTTTACCCACAGCCCCCAAAACATATCAAATAACGTTCCACTATTTGTAAAGTGCTCAAAAATAGTTTAACTTGGTATCAGAAAAGAATCTGTTTATTACCTTTGAAATCTATAAGCCATAAAATCTAACCTGGTCTCCCAAGAAACTGTGATGTTCACATAAAGTTATATGAACAATGCTTTAACAGCAATAACAGCACTATTCCAAGAAATCTTTTTTTTAAACAAAACGGGGTAATTTGCTGAGGCACAACCTTTGGAATCTGGAGACAGAGCGTGAAAACATGTTTCCCTGCCACAGACACAAATGCTACTCCGTACACACATCTCTGTGAAGACATTTCATAGTATCAGCTCCAACAACCTGTCGATGGCAAACGCACTATCGTTAGAGTTAAGGATCCACAGGCAGCCTGAGAGCTTACGCATGAGGACCATCTTCTGAGGCTGATCTCACCGTCCACCATGATCCCATGAGACTAAGATGACCTTCACTTGTTTCAAACTAGTTAGGGGACTGGCAGCCTGTATTTTTTTTTTTTAAGATTTTATTTACTTATTCATGAGAGAGAGAGGGTGGGGGGCAGAGACACAGGCAGAGGGAGAAGCAGGTTCCATGCAGGGATCCCGATGTAGGACTCCATCCCCGGTCTCCAGGATGAGGCCCTGGGCTGAAGGCTGCGCTAAACCACTGAGCCACCCGGGCTGCCCTGGCATCCTGAATTTAAACATACACCGGATTAGTTCATAGGGAAAATGATCTAGTGTTGTGTGAGGGCTTAGGATTCCCCAAAATGACCCATTTTCTTGTATGTGAAACTGAAAATCAAAGCCTGCCTTATCAGACTCTTATTTATGGAAAAGGAAACAATTCATCTTTTAAAAGAGCCGTACACATACTGCACCTGATGCCAAAAAGAACAAGTGTCCTCAGAACCAGGCAGTTTCTCAGTGTGACATGGCAACTGTGTACAAGGTCAGCTGCCTACGTGTGACCTGTTGGTCCTCAGGGGCTGTTTGGGACTCCTAGGCATGAGGCCTGGGAAGTAAACTTAATTTTTTTTTCTTTTCTTTTTTTTTTTTTTTTTTTTTTTAGTAAACTTAATCTTTAATGGGAATCCCAACTAGACAAAGTGTACTGGCCAGTAACTTGACACTTCACAAGCACAGGGCAGGTAAAATTAGTTCAACTACCCACGTGGAGGGTCCCATTCAGGAGGAACAAGGCCCTCAGCTCTGGGTCCTGTTAAAAAAAAAAAAAAAAGCACACAAATATAAAAGTATATAAATGATTTAGCATTACCTCTGGGAGCATATTAATATGCGTGATGATACTAATACTAATAGGCACCTGGAGTCGTCTGACAGCAGACACAATCCCCACGTGAAGTGACACACACACACACATCTTCCTGGGAGGCTTCTGCTCACCACTTCCACCCAGTGCTGATAGCGCAGCCGCTCAACAAACACTGAATGAACACACACCTTCCCAATAACCCACTGGGAGAACATTCATTTTCCTCCCCTGTCCTTTACTTATGTAAAATGAGGGATTGGACAAAATGATCTGTGGTCCTAGCTCAAAAATTCTTCACAAAATGAGAACATTTTAAATATTCCAGGGAAAAATAAGTCTTATAGTATAGCAGGCTCCAAAAAAATATACCAAGCTATAGATTTAATTTTATATTTTCCAGTTACTGTGTTAAAAAGTATAGGAAGGGCAAAGTTAACATATATCATCATTTAAAATGTAATCGGTATTTAACATTTCTCATCTTTTTGATACTCAGTCTTTGAAACTTGTGTGTATGTTATACTTGGTGTAACTAGCAAACAAATATGTAGTAAAAAGTATCTTAATGTCAGACAAGCCACATTTCAAGTGCTCAGTAGCTACCCAAGATGTGTGGTCACCTTTCTGGACAGAGCAGCTCTGTGCAGGAAAGCAATTTCTATCAGCAGCTATCTTGGGGCGAAGAAGTGTCACATTAATCTTCTTAAAATACAATTTCAGGCCATCTTTAAAAAACAAAAAAAAACAAAAAAAACAACCAGCCTTCCTTCACGAGGCTCTCTTCCCCCTAACCACTTATTAGAACCAATACCTCAGGGATCTTCCATGACTTGCTTTCAACCACCTCCTTGGCTTTAGTTCTGACACCGACTTGCTGAACTGGCCCCTCCAGCAAGCGCTGCTCCCGCAGCTCCCACCACCCACAATGGCATGTGTCCTCCTGTATGCCTGTCCCACAGTTTCTGCTCCGGCTGGGAGCCTTCTGCACCAGACTTACCTTTTGTATAAATGAACCATACAACATGTGGCCTTGCTACCTGCATGTACTCTGCATGTTTTCAGAGTTCACTCCTGCTGTGGCAGGTATCAGAACCTGGAATCCTTTCACAGCTGAGCACACACCCCAGTATGGACAGGCAACATCTCGTTTATCCAGTCACCTGCTGATGGCCATCTGGGCTGCTTCCACATTTTGGTAACTATGAACAATGCTGCTATGAGCATTCTCACACAAGTTTCTGTTTGGACACACGTTTTCAGTCCCCTGGAATTTAGGAATGGAATTTCTGACTCATATGGGTTAACTCTCTTTCTGAATTAAATGTGTAACTGCCCAAATGTTTCCCAAGATGGCTGCACCATTTTCCACCCCCAACAAGCATGTATTAGGGTTCTCATTTCTCCATTCCTTAACACTCGGCCATATGCATATCTTTTTTGGATTTAGATCCTTTGCCCTTTAAAACTGTGGTCTTTCTACTGTTGAATTATAACATTCTTTATATCTTAATCAGATATATCACTGGCAAATGTTATTTTCCTATTCTGTGGCCTGCCTTTTCACCATCTTTTTTTTCTCTTTATTAAGATTTTATTTATTTATTTATTCATTTGAGACATAGAGAGAGAGGCAGAGACACAGGCAGAGGGACAAGCAGGCTCCATGCAGGGAGCCTGACGTGGGACTCGATCCTGGGTCTCCAGGATCAAGCCCTGGGCTGAAGAAGGTACTAAACTTTACGCTGAGCCACCCGGGCTGCCCCCTTTTCACCGTCTTGATGGTGGCCCTTGAAGTAATAGGTTTAATGTGTGTTTTAATCTGGTGGCTTGTGCTTCAGATACCCCACGTAAGGAAGCATGCCTGAGCCAAGGTCATTAAGACTTATGCCTGTTTTCTTTTAAACGTTTTACAGTCTTGGCTCCTACGTTCTGGTATTCTGGAGTAAACTTCTGTATAAGGTGAGGCAGAGATCCAACTTCACTCTGTCAACTGTCCAGCATCATCTGCTAAAGCCTACTCCTCCCCTACTGGAAGATCTTGGCACACTTGCTGAACATCAACTGCCTACAACCATCAGAGCATATTTCTGGATGCTGTGCTAGCCCCACCATCAACAGGAGTGTCCTAGTGTCCTCATGCCTGTGTCTGTAAGTCTCAACTACTGCAGCTGGTGGGCAGTTCTGAGACTGGGAATGGTTAGTCTTCCTCCAACTCTGTTCTACTTTTTCAAGATTGTTTGGCTATTCTCACCCAGCTTTTAAAATCAGAAGAAATCTTTGATTTTTTAATCCAGGCAGCTTTCTCAAATTAGTCTAATGGGACTATTCCTCTCAGATTGTTCTGAGCCACTGAGTTGTCCACTCAAGTCTGCATGAAGTCAGGATCCCTGAAAGCTGGAGCCTGAAAGTCTAGTGCACGAAGTTACTCTGGATGGCATTCCTATCCACTGTGCTGACAGGAACTCAAGTCCTCCTAGAATGTGTCACTGATGAAGGGCTCAGCCCTGTGCTTCATCACCTCGTGCTACTGTTGGGAAGCTTCACAATCCTCTCTTACGTGTAACAAAGCCCACTTCACTTCTGTTATTTCAATGACTTCGAGCACCCTGTAAGGTGCATGTGGCTATTACTTATTCTCCTTTAAAAGTGATAAAAATACGGCTCAGAGAAGTGGAGGTGTCAATGTATGAAAACAGAACCTTTGATCCAAATTCCACTTCTTTTTATTGAGGTCCAGGAACCGAGGGACTGAGCAGTTAAATGAAGCGAAGCATAATGCGCAGCACGACAATCCAGCATGATAATGTGAAATGTACCAAAACACTTGAAAAAATGTTTTTAAAGCTAGCTTCTGTCAACTGAAAATCTGACATTCCTAAGTGAGACAATAGGTACTGCCAATGGTTAAAATAAAAAAAATTAAATGAGAAACATGCTATGATACATTAAATTCTCATTCAAAGAGGAGAAAAATTCTTCAGAGCCATGAGGACAAAATGAAAGCAGTCCCACCCAACTGGTAGCAACATATCCTCATTATAAGCAGGATACCTACAGAGAAGAAAGCTGTTTCAAGAAAACTAATCTGAAAACTCTAATAAAGAATGTTAGAAGACGCTGGCTTAGATTAGATGCACAGCTGCTACTCATGTACCCTCTTCCATCTGGGATGATCTTCCCATCTAAATAAATTTCCCTGAAGGATGCAAATGGAGTAATATGGAAGAAAGTAGATAATTGGTCAGTCACCAAACCAGACGACACCATGCTGAATGAATGGTGGGGCCTCATGTGTCAACAGGAATGCACGTACCCACATCCCAGTCTAGGGAGCGCTACAACTGTCCAGTAGACAGACTGGCCTCAAGTCAGATGCCTGGGTTCCAGTTCTAGCTCAAATGACCACAGGACTTGAGTACAAGACTTCTTCTTTATCAATTTTTGTCCATCCACTAAATAGATGGAAAAAAAATATTCTCTGCATTTATTTCTATCCAACAGAGAAATCACAAGTATGTTTACGTTATGAGTGTATGTGTATTCATAAAGGCACACACACACATTCAATTCCCCCGCTACTGAGAGTTTGCTATATGCCACTTCACTTTTATGAAAAACCTACATTAGTACCTTTTTTGCTGACTGAAAGATATCCAAAGAGAATTTTCGCTTTTATGAAATGGTAATTGCTTCTTTACACCATTTTGGTTTACAAAAGGTTTCACAGAAATACTCTACTTTTGGATAGCAGGAGAAACATGTTTATAATGAAAGAAGACACTTTTAATTCAACAGAATAAGCAAGACCTTTTTAAAAACTAGGCTATTAGAGAATTTTACATACTGAAAAATGAATCCTCTCAAACTCAGATGAAACTTATATTTGATATTTCAAAGATTCTGCAATGTTAAAATACGGAATGCTAAGTTGTAAAGACAGGTACTTACAAGTTAATACTGGTTTAACCACAAAAGTCATTGAAATTGTACGTGGAAAAAGGAGTGTAATTTCCAAAACCCTCGATTTCTCCTGCTATGGCTTCAAGACCACCTTCTCCATTCCTGTTCTCAGGGCTGTTGTCATCCATTAACCATGAGTGGTATAAAGGCACTTTACACAATGATCTTTCACCAACCTCTCTTCATCCTTTGTCAGACTTGCGAAACAACTGCTACCAGATCCTTAAGCCGCATCTGTTCTGTTCATTACCAACATTCTGAAATTTGTTCCATTGTGAGATATAACATCTTCATGATTATTAGCAGCCTGTTTTCACTGTTCCTTACTTAGCTCTTTTCCTAAACTGCTAAGCAACCCTTGCTTCTAGAAACACTCCGACCTGGGCACCTGTGGGCTGGAATTAACCAGGACCCAGATGACTCCTCCTTCCTTTGCTGACTCATTTTCCAACTTGCTCCTCCTAATCTCAGCCCTCACTTTTCTCTTTCTTTCTTTTCTTTCTTTCTTTCTTTTTCTTTCCCTTTCTCTCTTTCTTTCTCTTTCTTTTTCTTTTCTTTCTTTTTTTTTCTCTTTTTTCTTTTTCTTTTTTTCTTTTTCTTTCTCTTTCTTTTTTTCTTTCTTTCTTCTTTCTTTCTTTCTTTCTTTCTTTCTTTTTCTTTCTTTTCTTTCTTTCTTTCAAGTTTATTAATTCATGAGAGACAGAGAGAGAGAGAGACACAGGCAGAGAGAGAAGCAGGCTCCATGCGGGGATCCCGATGCAGGACACGATCCTGGGACCCCAGGATCACGCCCTGGGCTGAAGGCAGACGCCCAACTGCTGAGCCACCCAGGTGTCCCAGCCCTCATTTCTCAACATGTGCCAAGGACTCCCAAATCTCAGACATTAATACTCCTCACATATTTGAATACCAATTACTTACCTACAACCTCCAATGGAGCTAGTTCTGAAATGCGATCACGCCCAACTTTATGCACATCCTGTTTGGCCACACCACCTCTTTCAGCACCCCATCTATAGCTGCTGGCCACTGCCACCATCACAAAACCAAAAAGCCTTACTACCCTTCTCCTATTCCTCACGTCCCATGGATTAACAAAATCTTAGGGATTTTTCTATTTCTGCCTTTCCTTATATTTTTCTATTTAACTAAAAAGTAAAATTTATTCAATTATAATATTTATTCATTAACTTAAAATAATATTTATGCTGCATGGAAGACAATATTGATGTTGGCCAGACGCTCTACAACATCTATGAATAGGCAAATTATGCTAATCATTTGCTGGGCATAAACTCAGAGCAAAGGAAACAGCCAGCTCAGCCACATTTAAACTTCAGCAAACTTCTCTGTTACTACCACATGAACACTATGTTTGATGGAAGTTCTCACTGGTCTGGGCATCTTCTCTAAATCATGCCGCAGGCTCAGCCATGGGCTTACCTTTCCCAAGTGTCCTCCTTCAGTGAGCCATTGTCTCCACACATACATGCACTATCTACCAGCCTCCACAATGTCTATCATCTTTGCCTATCCAGAAAGCCTTCATACACATTTTAAAACCCTTCTACATCATTCTAATCCACGTAATGGGGATATAAAGAGTGTGGGCAATAACTAGAGGCACCATGCTGTGAAAATGGGAAACTGAACGTGATGGCTATGCTCGTGGCCACAGATACTGAGAGATGGGCGACCACCAGTCAAGTCAGTCTCTCTGACAATCTGAGTCAAAAAACAAGAGATTTGGGCTCCTGGGTGGCTCAGTGGTTGAGCATCTGCCTTCGGCTCAGGGCATGTTCCTGCGATCCGAGGACTGAGTCCCACACTGGGCTCCCCACAAGGAACCTGCTTCTCGCTCTGCCTACGTTTCTGCCTTTCTCTTTGTGTTGCTCATGAATAAATAAAATATTTAAAAAACAAAACAAAAACAAAACAAAACAAAACAACCCAAGAGATTCCTCTTAGGCTGCAGCTATAGTTGCTTGCAGGGGAAATAATACTTAGGTTAAGCTGGTAAAAATAACAGTAAAAGAGAACAGTATATTGTAATACCACTACTCATTCACTTATAGTTCTCAAACTAAATACATTTACAATTTTCTACATTTATGTTGATGACATAATTATAGATCAGTGGGAAATGGCTCCCAACACTTCAATTAAATACTTGAGATATAAAATATTCTGCTCATAACAATAAATGTAAAAATATATTTTAGGCAGTCAATTAAAAAAAAATATGCACCTAGGTTACTGCCTGGCCTATAATCCTCAACTGTTAAATGAACGACAAAAGTATGCTAGCTCATATGCAAACCTTGCAGGTCTTCTGTTTCAGGTACTGCTTTGTCCACAGATGTACTGTCCACTTGGGAAGATGCTACAGATTCTGATAAAAGTGACTGATTTGATACAGGGCTAGAAAAGCAAAAATATGTAGATTTGAAAAATGATCTCATGTAGGAGCAGTAATTAAAGTGATGTAATAAGTACAAGTTCAACATATCTAAGTACATCATTACAAGAGAGAACACAGAGATACTGTTTTCTAACCTCTGCATGAACCATAGGCCATGAACTCAGAGACCAGTTTGGACCAGAAATTCATGGCTTTTAAAAATAAGAGCAATAGCGAGTGGTCTCTGTGCATGAATTCAGCACATGAACACCAGTGCAGTCACGCCTGGTACAGAGTCAGGAGTCCGGGTATAATACTGTAAAGTATGTGCTGGTGCAGCAGAACTAGGCATCTCCCATCACAAACTGGGGAAAGAAACTATCGAGTAGAAATGTCATCCTTGTCTCCTAACGGCAGACTGCAGGCGAATCAAGTACTTCTGCGTTTTCAGGCTTCTATCTGGCGGGACTTCACAGTGAGAATGGAAAGCTCTTGCATGGCCTGAATTGGGGGCGCCATGCCAGGGAGGGAGCGGAGAGTCATAGGCAGGGCCCCTGCAGGGACAGGCCATGGTTAGGAGAACCCAGTGTCTGAATTCAGAAGGACTTCAGGGCTGGGACATGTTACCGGGAGAAATAAAGGAAAGGCTGTCTCAAAAGAAATGGGAACTTAAAGACACCTTCCCAACTGCTTCCCAATGCAAACACAACAAGAAGCCTCTTCTAACAGGTCAGTTGGTCAGTAATGAGATAGACATAGCTTTGGGCAGGTTAACCCTAAAGGGACTGGACCCAGTTTTCCTCACAGACCTGATCAAATAGAGAACATGTGCTTTATTCTTCACTAGCTTCACAAGCAGCACTCAGAGCCCACATCTTACCTTGGCTGCACAGATGCAGACGTGGAGTCTAGTGGTAACTGAGCATCCGCGACACTGCCGTCTGTGCACTGGACGGGTAAAGATTCAGACAGAGTACTGACAGAAGCTGCTGCAACAGAAGCACATTTCGCATTAGGGACATTGTGCTCTGGGAATCCCAACACCTGATCTAAACAGAGAATACCTATCTGTGCAACAGAGTGGGCCAATCCTGTTTTACTAACATCTATCATATGCTGGTTCATTACTTTTAGTAAGAATTTTCAGTAATTTCCCAATGGAAAAAAGGTCATTTAAACCAAGAAAGAAACCATATACAAACTGTATATATTAATGAACTGAACTCCTCTTTCTCAGGACTGTGTGTCACTCACACACATCTTGCAAGTCCTAGTACACAAATGAGGTATTTAAAAGATGGGAGTAGTTAAGGCAAACCTAAGTTCGGAATTGAAATCTGTGCTAGCAATTTTAGGTATATTCCTTGTTCTTCATAAGGCAAAATATGTAGATGATTTAATTTTAAAAAACAATTTATATTCATTTGATCTTAGCTTTGAGAAAATTTGGAGAAATTTTGATTAAATGGTTCTAGCTTTTGGCTTGAACACAAAGCAATAATGAGAAAGACCCCATGCAGAATCTTACACAAACTAGGTAACAGCCTTCATTGACCGCTACACCTCTGCAAAGCTCACACTCAGAATCCTTCTGATTGTTCCGATATAACCACTGACTGACCTAAGAAACCCAGCTCCGCAACCCCAGAATCCTCAGACACACAGTATGCACCCAGAATTAAGGTGAGCAGGCGATGAACACCTCTTACTCCCAGTCACACTGCTACACCTCTCCCCGCTTACAGCATATGGCTTTCTCTGAAGTCAGCTGTGGCCACCTGTAACCTACTCTTTCCTTCTACAGCTATCTTGACTTCGAAGTCATCAATAAAATAACCAAGGTCTTCATAACCCACCCTCCCTTACACCTGACTTTACCCAGACACCTACATATACTCAGAGTATGCTTGTACTTTCATAAAATAACAGTTCTATAGCACAGCAAATAAGGCTGTGGAATGGATTTGGACTGGTTATTTTCAATGGGTAAGGACACCATTGATAATGATGATGTGGGAGGAGGAACTTTCTGATATGAATGCAGTAATATGTGCACAATGTGAGAGCATAAAAACGTATCCAGTGCATTATGCTGTCTGAATCTATCTCAATGATGAATACTGCTGGGTTTTACTTACCAGGTGGGCTTATTCTACCATTACTACTATTCTGTCTTTGAAGATGTTCTTTATAGCATACTGAACACATGCCATTTGTACGAGGGTTTCCATAAAATCCGCAGCCAGTGGAACAAAGCATAGGCACTTGGCTGTGATTAGTTTCTTGAGCCATGTTCCTCTGTTGCACACCTGAAATTTACACAGAATTAGTAAAGAACTCAGACACACAGCAGTCACGCATTATCCAAATTTGCTTTACATAATTTTTAAAAACCCACGTACACTTCTGCTCTATCTAAAATCACTCATTCTATACACCTGTCTTAAAACCTAGGGCTAAGATAGAAAAACTAAAGACCAAAAGATACAAACTGAGCTTGTATTTCCCACCTTCTCTACACAAGGTTTGTACTGGCTTAGAAAATGTAAACAACTCTAGGGAGAGGTCTGTTCTGAAGACTCCATACCACCAGAGCCTTAAGGAAAATTCCTTGAGGCTAGTTCAGTTTGGACTCCTAATAATAATACATTATACGTTTTATTATATGTTATACTATTAATTTCTAAGTACTGACACTTATGCTCAAAGTTCATGTTTTATTTGTGTAATATTTTTCTGTTTAAAAAGCATTTTACAGAGTAACAATGCTGGTGAAGATAGGAAGAAATGGGCAGAATGCAAGGGAAATGAGGAACTGGCTCAATCCTTCTGGCAAAAAATTTAGCAATTCACCTTAAGAGCCTTACAAAACTGCCCTCAGAACCAGTCACTCTCCCACAGGTCTCCAACGGAATAACTAGAGTACAATCAGAAAAAAAAGACCAAAACACGTAACAGATGTGCTCCACAGCACTATTTATAATGTTGGTAAATTTAAAATAAATGCTCAACATGAGGAGAATGGATTTGTTTCAAGTTATAGATTATTAAAACATTTTAGAAGACTTTTTTGGTAGAAGAGAATACTGGTAACAAAAGACACAACATGAAATGTATATATGATGTGTTGTCAATTAGGACAAAAAGAGAATCTACAACCATCGCGAAGGACAGGAAAGAATGTGTCTGAGGACAGCAAAGCTAGTAATGCTGAATTATCCTTTTTTTGAACTTTTGAAATCCTTTCAAATGAAGGTACAATGTGCCTGATTGGGAATGAAATATTTACTGAAGTGCTTAAGATGAAAGAACTGCTGTGACACAGGACCTGTCTGGTCATCAATCACAACAGATGGAAGAACCCCATGTGCTGTTTCTCCCATAGAGCGAGTGATCCTTTGGCATGAATAACATGACAGAAGGTAATATCAGACTATTTAAAACAACAACAACAAACAAACCCCAAACCCTCCCAAATGAAATGAAGGTTACTCCAAAATGGGTGTATGTGTATTTAAAGACAAGTCTATAAAAGATCCTGAGGGGTAAGAATCACCAGAGGAAAACAAAGGTTTTGCCACTAAAGTTGCCCTGAATCAAATCAACAATGAAGGAAAGCATTCAATGTTTATCATGGACAGATTTTTTCTTTACCTGAATTATTTGAAAAGACTGTTGGGTGAGGGGTATACTTAACACAAATTTCAGAACCAATAGCTGTAATGCATTTGACAGGATTACAAAACAAAGCAGCAAATTTTGCATTTGCCTTTACAAAGAACCGCCCTAAAACCAATGAGAATATTTAAACCTTTAGCCTGGGAATAATTTGGGATTTGGACAAACCTCTTTCTTACTCCATCATGGCAAATTGCTTCAGAATCCAATCTTGGCTGCTCTGCTCCCTATATGGACTACTTTGGTAGTTCTATATAAATATACATGTAAATGAAAAAAAAACAAAACACCAAAAACAAAGATGGGATACAAAAACTAATAAACGTTCTGTGGGGATTTGTGGCCTCTGTTCTGGGGGTAAAATGTGTATGAGTGCTGTTGGGTTATCAGGGTAACTGCTCAGGGTCATGTATGTAGCTTATAACTTGTTGGGAGTCAATCCAGGCCGACTGGCTCAAAGTTCTTGCTCTCAATCAGTGGTTCTCAAAGTGTGCTTCTGTGAACCCCTAGGGAGGTCAGAACTGTTTCCATTACCAGCTGTCTGTCTCTTTCCACTGTGTTGCCATGTGCACTAGTGGTGCACAAGCAATGATGGGTCGATGACAGGAACCCTATTAAGGAGCCAAATCAGGAAAGTGCCCCAATACTAGCTATATCCCCCCTCGCCACATTTTCACAGCAACAGACTAACTTATTAAATCTTGAGCCTGAACATACGTCTGTAAATGTTTTGGGTGACAAACTGGAAAGTATACAGACTGTTCCTGCTGCATACAGAAGTGTGAAGACAGAGGGAAGGAGAGATACTGGCCCAAATGCTCAAGCTGCCCAAGGCACCTTTTTCATGGAAGACATTTTTTATTTCAAGAACTGGCTCTGTTTATTTAAACCTGAGTATACAGCAGACATTTTCTCATAAATGAACAAAGTGAGCCTGTCACTTCAAGAAAAATAACAGTATTCATTGCCAAGGACCACATTTTTAAAAAAAAAAGAAAAAAAAAGCTTGACAAGTATCTCTTATTTTTAGAGTTTCTGATAAGATCAGTAGTGATATTAATGACATGTGAGTAGTTGGTATGGTATTAACATCTGGAGGATCTGGGTAAGTCAGAGAAGCAGTATTTTCCAGTGATCATGTATGATGGCACAAAATGATTCATGAACAAAAGATCCATTCAAATTGGAAGACCAAGGAATTTTAAAGTAAGGGGACAGAAAATTTTTACATATAGTTTGAGATGCTAGCGGGCAATTAACCCTTTAAAGAAACTACAAATTGCCAAATTTTGGTATAATATCAAAGAAAGGCAACCTCTGTTATCTGAAAAGGTTATTAAAAACATCCTTTCTTTTTCAATGACGTATCTGTATGATACCAGTTTTTCTTTATAACACTGTAACAGATAAAATGCAGAGCCAACTATGAGAATCTTATTATTTGCACAAATGCCTAACAATGGCACTTTTCTCACTAAACTTTTTTGGTGGTGATGGTGGGGATGAGGGAAGGGATGGTTACTTCTGACAAAAAAAAAATTTTTTTTTTTCTTTAAAGATTTTACTTATTTATCCATGAGAGACAGAGAGACAGAGAGACAGAGAGAGAGAGAGAGAGAGAGGCAGAGACACAGGCAGAGAGACAAGCAGGCTCCATGCAGGGAGCCCGACTGTGGGACTGGATCCCAGGACTCCAGGATCACGCTCTGGGCTGAAGGCAGACGCTTAACCACCAAACCGCCCAGGCATCCTTGACAAAATATTTTTTAACATTATTATTTTGTAATTTTTTTCAGCCTTATTTTGTAAGAAGATAAGTATCGCTAAATATGACACACATAAACCAAAGTTCTTCAGGGTACTCAGTAATTTTAGAGAATATGAAAGGCTTGAAATGAAAAACTTTGAGAATCCACTGCTGTAAACTATGCATCCCCAGTGTAGACAGTATCAACTTAAAGGCACAAAACCTAACTCTTTGGGGGAAGGAAGCACTTAAGAAACCTTACTCTGTATGTATATATGGAATACATAATAGAGATATAGTATATCTGTGGATTAAAATTTTATGGAGGTGGGAAGCAAAGTTGGAAAAAACTTTAAAAAGGCTTTTTGTCAGGGAGAAAAAAAAAAGATTGAAAAACATTGTTCTAAACCAAAATTATCCTGTGCTGCCTATTAATGACATTATAATGGTATTTATAAGGTGGGAATTAAAAGACTTTCTCCAGGGGATCCCTGGGTGGCTCAATGGTTTAGTGCCTGCCTTTGGCCCAGGGTGTGATCCTGGGGTTTCCGGATCGAGTCCCGCATCGGGCTCCCGGCATGGAGCCTGCATCTCCCTCTGCCTGTGTCTCTCTGCCTCTCTAACATGAATAAATAAAATCTTTAAAAAGACTTTCTCCAGTGGCACAGATATAAACCTTTCAGCATCTGGCCGGCAATCATGAGCACCCAGAGAAGAGAAATATTCTATTTCTTTGAAAACTTAATAGTCACAGATTAGAATACGACCACCAAGCTTTCATTCATATTACCTGCTTCTGAATAAATTTTAAAAACATGTAGCACTAGTGATTTTCCCAAGCCAAACTGCCCTGCACAGCAGCAAGTTAACAATGATTTTCATAAGTTGAGCTTTCTTATTAAAAAAACTATCATCTTGGCAGGTAAAAAGCACAAAGGATTTAAAAAGCACAAAGGATTTAAAAAGAAAAAAAGACATTTATTCATCTTTAGGCCACAAAATATACCTTTCCATGAAGACTCACAAAGAGAACCACTACCATAAAAGGGTAGTTTAGTTTATCCCAATGTGCAGGGGCAAAGATGGCGCAGTTGTGGAGAAACTGGAAATCTTGCCTTCCTCTGTTGCACCTTCTTGGCAGGGAAGGACTCTGCGGGCCACCAGACTGGCATTCAGGAGGGAGAGAGGCAGGGAAGGACTCTGCAGGCCATCAGACTGGCACTCAGGAGGGAAGAGTGTAAGGGAATAAGAATGCAGAACAATCCCTTAGCTACCATTTTGAGGGATTATAAAGCAGTAAAGTCAAGGAGGTAAAGAACGGGATTATCAGACATAAACAGAAAAGTTCACTAGCATGGTATAATTTAAAAACAAATGTCTATGCATTGCAGAAAATTCAGAAAATGTGGTTTTGGACTCTTACTATTTGTAATCAAAACCACAGCCAAGTCTGCTCTCTTCCCTGAAATGGTACTGAGCAGGTACTAGAACTGACTGTGGGCCAAGAACCATGTTTTCTGTTTTATTTAGCTCTAGAACCCTGTGCTGTTTTAAAAATTAGGAACTGATATTAAAGAGATTTAAGAACTTGCCCAAGGCCACATATCTAGGAAGCAGCTGTCTTTGGTCAGTGTCTTTTCCTTTATCTCCTAAAACACAAGAGAATGACTTTCAAAGTCCAACCTGCTCCTACTAACCCTGTGATTTTGTGAGCAATCCACGAATTCTTATGCTTTTCATTGAAAGATAATTTAAATTTTCACTCATTTATTCGACCTTAAGATATTATGAGCTTTAATAAGGTTAACCAAGCTCTGAAGAAAATTTGTTTTTCAAATCTTTTTACCTAAGAAATTCTCGTTGGCATTAAAAAACTCAAGATCA